TGATGCTGAAAAAATATGAGTCAAATTTTGTTATTTCTCTTCTTTAAAATTCTCTAAGGGTTCCCTATCTCACACAAATAAAAGCCACAGTCCTAAAATTGACCTCTTACATTAGGAGTTGACAAACTATGGTCCATGTACCATATTTGGCCTATTGCCTGTTTTTGTATGACCTGTAGGCTAAAATAGGTTTTTAAATGGTTAAAAAACATTAAAAATGGATATTTTGTGACATGAATATTGTATGAAATTGACATTTCATTGCCCATAAATTTTTAAGTATATTTTATTGATTATACTCTTACAGTTGTCCCATTTACCCCCTCTTTGCCCCCTTTTGCCCATTAGCCCTATTTCCCTCCAGCAGTCCTCCCCCTCAGTTATGTCCATAGGTCATGCATATGAGTTCTTTGGCTTCTCCATTTCTTATACTATTCTTAACATTCCCCTGTCTATTTTTTACTTCCAGTTATACTTCCTATTCCCTGTACCTTTCCCTCCATTCTCCCCCTCCCCTCGATACCCCTCTGTATGTGATTCTGTTCCTGTTTTAGTTATTTGCTTAGTTTGTTTTCGTTTTTTTAGATTGTGAGTTTGTTGTCATTTTACTGTTCATAGTTTTGATTATCTTATTTTCTTTAGACAAATCCCTTTGATATTTCATATAATAAGGACTTGGTGATGATGAATTCCTTTAGCTTTACCTTGTCTGGGAAGCACTTTATCTCCCCTTCCATTCTAAATGATAGCTTTGCTGGATAGAATAATCTTTGGTATAGGTCCTTGCTTTTTATCACTTTAAATACTTCTTGTCAGTTTCTTCTTACCTGCAAGATTTTTTTTTTTTTGAGAAATCAGCTAGTAATAGTCTTATGGAAATTCCTTTGTAGGTAACTATCTCCTTTTCTCTTGCTGCTTTTAAGATTCTCTCTTTATCTTTAACTTGTGACATTTTAATTATGATGTGTCTTGGTGTGGCCCTTTTTGGGTCCAGCTTGTTTGGAACTCTCTGAGCTTCCTGGACATGTATGTCTGTCTCCTTCACCAAATTGGGGAGGTTTTCTTTCATTATTTCTTTAAATAAGTTTTCAATTTCTTGTTCTTCCTCTTCTCCTTCTGATTCAGAAGGCATCTCTATGATTCAGATGTTGGAATGTTTAAAGTTATTTCAGAGGTTCCTGAGCCTCTCCTTGTTTTTCTGAACTCTCGTTTCTTCTTTCTGTTCCAACTGAATGCTTATTTCTTCCTTTTGTTCCAAATCATTGATTTTAATCCCAGCTTCCTTCCCTTCACTGTTGGTCCCTTGTATATTTTTCTTTATTTCACTTTGCATAGTCTTCACTTCTTCCTTTATTTTGTGGTGATACTCAATCATTTCTCTGGACATACTAATCACCAGTGTTTTGAACTAACTATACATCTGATGGGTTGGCTATCCCTGTGTCACTTAGTTCTATTTTGAAGTTTTGGTCTGTTTTTCATTTGTGCTATAATTCTTTGTCTCCTCTGTTTTGCAGCCTCCCTGTGTTTCTGTGTATTAGGTAGAGCTGCTTTGACTCTCCATGTCAGTGCTCCTGTCATGTTGTAAGGGGCGGAGCCTATGGTATTTCCAGGTCAGTGCAGCTGGCTTTGCTGCTTTGTGGTGCTTGATGTGGGGGAAGGGTCAGAGAGGGAGCAGTGCTGCTTGCTTGGCTCTCGACCTGTTTCCATTCACTTTCTCTACTTCTCCTAAGCAGCTGATGCCCTTCTAGCTCCTGCCCTGGTACTGATTCTCAGAGTGGGTGGGCTTGTGTATGTTCCATGACCCTGTGGGCCCTTTAAATGAATTCTCCTGTGAGACCGGTGGTTTCTTTTACCACCCCAACCTCCACTGGTTTTTACCTGACAGGTAGAGCACAGCTAATATTTTTCTAAGCTGTTTTTCAGCTGTTTTGTTTCAGATGTATAAACAAATAATTATATTTGATATTCTAGGGTTTTCCTTACCCCTGCAACCATTTATTGAATATATAGTATTTGGCAGGTAATTTTAGGTATTTTTATAATCTGTCTCATTTAGTTTGAAGTAGATACTATTCACCTCATTGCGAGATGAGAAAACTCTGGCTCTGAAAAGTAGAGCAACAAAGCTGGTACATGCACACCTCAGATACTGCCAATTCAGTCGCAGACCACTGCAGTAAAGTGAGTATTGCAGTAAAGCAAGTCGTAATCTTTTTGCTGGTGGATTGTCTTGCCTTCAGTTTGTAAAAAGGCAGTATCTGTGAAGAACAGTAAAGGGCAGTGCAATAAAATGAGGCATGTCTGTGCTCGAATCTAGGCATGTCTGACTCCAAAGCCTGTGTGTGCTGCTATACAACCTTTGTAATTACATAACCATATTTTTTGAAATAGCTAAAGTTTATTCTCTAACAAGTGTGACTGCCTTCAGAGCAAAAATATTATTAAAAGAGATAGTCTAGGTTTGAATCCAGGTTGTACTACATACTTTTGGTTTGTGTGTTTAATAACAGTATATAACCTCTTTATGCTCCAATTTCTTTGATGTGTTAGAAGCAGTCATTGACATTGTTTTAAGGATTAAATGAGGTAATGTATGAAAAGCTCTTAGAACAGTGTCTGGTATAGAACGTGAATTCCATAAGTGTTACCTATTAGCGGTGGAATAGATAAAGGAAACTAAGACCCAAGTAAATTAAGTGATTTTCTGAGTCATGATTTTCTAAGGTCACAATGGCTATTAAATGGCAAAGGTGAGGTTTTTAATTTGAAGGTCAGAATTTTGTCCATTTTAAAGAATAGAAACTTAAAAAAAATGTGTTGGACAAAACCAAGGGGGAGGGTGGAAGCAAGGGAGGGAGGTGGATTTGGCTGGGGTGGTGGGAATGGTGTGGAGAAAATGCAGACAACTATAATTGAACAGCAATAAAGTAATTAAAAATGTGTTGGAGTTTCTTCCTTTCTGATTACAGTCTACTGTATATAATTTAACTTTTCTTCTTAGATTGATATAATTGGGAGAAGCATTGGGTTATGATTTGGGTCTGGATCAGGCCTTGTCCCTGATTAGTTGTATGACCTTAATATTTCTGACTGTAGTTCATTTGTAAACTGAAGGGTAGGTGGAATTGGGCCAGATGATTCCAACATTCCTTTTACAGCACCAATAGAGTATGATCCTCATATGCATTGCTTTTATCATGAGTTACTTACTGTACTGTGCTATAACATGTTGAAGTTCCCAGAGATCCTTCGTGCATGTGTAAGGTGGTTACATGTGTAGGGTGTGCTAAGTGACTAAAGAGTGCTGTACTTTTATTTGGCCATCCACACTTTATCCACTGTATCAGCTCTTTTTAAGCATTTTTAGCATTCTTCCTGCTTTTCTGCTTCCAGTCTACTTTCTTAGTATGTTGTTGTATTGCCTTTACCTTTTTTCAGAGTGAAGCTTGTGTACTTTGTTTTCAGTTCTCACCTGAACACATAGTAATCTTTTTTGGTTGCTGGATTCACAACTAATTATTAAATGGCTGAATCCCATAGAATGGAGTAGGGCTGGGAATGGAAAATGCCAGACTCTAAATTGTGTAGTATGATCTTTCTACAGAAGGTATAACTTAAGTGACAAAAGAATCTTTGAGATGTCTCATACCATGGGATCAAGTTTTATCAAGTTTTTCTTGGTTGTGTAAAAGGACCCTGTGAGTTGCAGCATGTACACGTTCCCGCTTTACCTTGATGTGATATGTGCACATAATCAAAGTTCCACTTGTTAGTTCAGTTACATAACCTCTCTGTTTGTTTTAGTCAAGCTTTAGTAGTTTGTTTGTGGTGGGTTTTGTGAACCAGAGTCGGTGGTGGGGGGAGCTGGTTACAGGATGTGAAGGGTTTTGCATGTAATAGGTCACACACAGGTGAGTATCATTTGATTATAATCATGGGTCTGTTTTTTCATTTGCAGTATTTGGGAGAGTTAAATGTCACACCTGTAACTTTCCTGGTCCCCCGAATAAAAAAAGGATGCTTTTTTTTCTTTAAGGGAGTAACTGGAAAGCATTAGGAAACTATTACAAACAATAGCAACAAAAAAATATTAAGAGGAGTTCTTTATTTAAATGAAGTTTAATTTAAAGAAAAGACTGAAATGAAGAGAAAGCTGTTCTTTGTGAGTTTGTGTTCTGTGGTGTGTAAATTACTTCTGATAGCCATATAATTAGTTAAAGCATGTGTCCTATTTTGGCCTCATGATATATAAGGATTTCATCAATGCTCAGAAGAGTTTGTTTATTTGGAGTGAAGTCTCATGAAGGTGGAACAAAGGGGTGATGAGACTCTGAGCAGAAATACACAGTGGGATCCTGGCCAGAGTCATCCATGGGTAATGAAGTCAGGACCTTGTGGATATTCAGGAGTTGGACATAACAACAAATAATCGATTGAGGGAGAAGTAGGATCTCTCAAGAGTTAGGGGAACAGAGCCAAAAAAGCATTCTGAATTTTAGGCCTAAAAATGATCAAAGAAGAAACATTGTGCCAACATGTGTTGTCTGGTGGTGATATCAAATTGAAAAGCCTAATGATTACAGTCAATGGTGGTGGTATATTTTCAGGAGTCCTGTCTACTTTTTGGATAGCTCTGATTAATGCCAGTTTCCAATAGAAAAACCTCAAGGTTAGCAACCATCACAAAATGGTTGCTAACAATAGAAGTATTACTTTTTTAGGTGGTGATACTGTGTTTGTAAAGTATCTCATTGAGAGCCAGTCAGCCAGGGGCTAGCAACTACCAGGTAGGGTTAACTTTTCTGGCCATATGACTTAGGCTCTTTCTTGGGCCCAGGTCTTCAAAGAGTGTGTTAACTTTTCTTTTGAAATGGGTTAGTTTTTTGTTATAAAGATTGTTTCTTTTTAGTTGATGACACGTTTATAGGCTCCACATTCAGATATGAAACTAATTGTAAAGGAGCATTTTGAAAAGTTTTTCTTTTTCTCTTGCAGGTGTAATCCAGAGAGCTGTCTTCAGACATCTTTGCTATATTGACTCTGAGCTGTCAGGGGACTCAGGCTTATGAGGAGGTACTGTCACAAGAAACAGTGTCTAGTGAAGACGACAAGAAAGAGGGTAAAGGATCGGAGAAAGAAGCTAAAACACTATAGAAAACCATGGTAGGTTATTGTTTATGTTTCTTAATTCAGGTAGAAGAGATTCTAAAAGTTTAAAATTAGTGTTAACAGTGAAGTCAAGTGAGTAACAAGGGTGTTAATTTGGCTCTCGTGCATCAGATAAAAAAGGCACACTGCTGTTTAGGCAAAGTAGATGAGTTCAGATTTATTATGAGCCCTTTAAACCACAAGATGGAGCCCCATGAGCCTGTAGGCCATACATTATTAACTACAAATGAGGGATTGCTCATAAATACTATTTTCTAATAAAACTGGCATTAACAGACTGATACAAATGGCTAATGCAACTTGAAATGGTGTTACTTTCTTTGGCTTTCTACCTGAAGTTCAGTTTTTCTCACCATGGAAATTAAAAAATGTGAACCAGTCCTTTAACTAGTGATATGAGTGGTGTAGGAATTTATAAAGTATGTATTTAACTTGAAAAGCCACCTTTTCCCACATGCTTTTATTTTTATTTTTGTTTTTGTTTTTTATTTTAATGTATTTTAATAGCAAACTTATAGGAACAGCACAGAAGACAGACAACATTAAAAATGTACTTGCATGTAAGACTACTTAATTAGAAAAGTATAGTGAATGGATAGAATCTGCTGTATGATAAAAATGCTACAAACACCATTTAGTTGCCATCAATAAGAAATTTACTTGTTATAAAAAAATCCAAATGCTGGCATTGCCCATAAAATTTTAATAGGTTTATTTATATTGTTATAAAAGTTGAACTGCTGAATTTTACTTACTGAAACATCTTGCCTTGCGCTAATGCTCTACATCCCCACATTTATATTAAAAAAATTCACACACAAATGAAAGTGGAAGCACTGCCAATACCTGATTTCTGTCCCCTATTTTCCACTTGCAGTCATATACTTAGTACCTTTTGATCCCATGGGGAAAAAAATAATGTACAGAACTACCAGTAATGAGAAGAAAAAATTTTTGAACAATGAAATGTTTCCCATTATAGTGGATTCTTAAGCATGTTCTCTGTGTATGCAGTGTGCTAGCTGGATGTCTTCTGGCACATTTGTTACATGTTTGGCATGGATAGCACAAAGGTGGTTGTTTTCAAAAGGGCCAGCCAGGTAGGCTTCACTTGCCCTCCTGCAGAGCACCAATAGCTGCACTCTGGAAGCACAGATCTGTGTGAAGTCCTGAGCAATTTCTTGGACCAGTTGCTGGAGGGGAAGTTTGCGAGTCAGAAGTACAGTGGGCTTCTGATAATGTTTAATTTCATGAAGTGCCACAGTACTAGGCCTGTAACAACAAGGTTTCTTCACCCCTCCAGTAGAGGGCGCACTCTTGTTAGCAGCTTTGGTAGCCAGTTGCTTCCTCTGCGTTACCAGTGAACAGTTTGCAGGCAGTCTGCTTTGTAGGAGCCATGCTACAGGGACCTCTTTTCTTGCCCCCCTTCCAACCTTTGGCTGGAGCTTGGAGAGCTGGAGGTGGCACTGGCATTAGAGAGCAGTGGCGGCTGCTAACACTCCCACATGCTTTTAAAGGAATAGGCTCATGTGTTAAGTGTATTGGGGGAAATCTTGCTTTTTGTGGAAGGTTCATACTTTTGAATTCGAGATGGTAGATGAGGTCACAACTTCTGGTGCTTAGTTTTCTAACTGGTAAAACGTGCTGAAATTTTTTTCCCCTAATATTTTGTTTCCAGAGGATGTTGTATGAATTTTTTCTCTTAGTATAAGTGGAAAAAAAAAGACTTAAAAAAGATAAGTGGGAAAAAAAGCAAAAAAAAAAGTTAATTATTAATATGTATAAATACATTGTTTGTAAGTCTGATGGTGTTTAAGTGTATATGATTTTTCAAAAATATGTTTTAGGATTTATACTTAGTTGAATTTCTCTTTAGAGAAGAAATTCCAATATTTTACTTCTGGATGGTGGGGGAAAATGTTAACTTGGGATTTTCTCTGTCACTGGTTTTGTGCTGAGATGTTAAAAAAATGACACTGACTTGGGTTTCCTTCCATGTGAATTATTCAACACTTTAGCTCCTTTATCTATTACATTCTTCATATTCTTGCAGTTTAAAGAAATGCCTCATATATATTATTGGTCATAGTTGATGGAAATCTCTTTTCTAGTTATTTAAATTTAACTTAGATTTTCTGGTGTAGGAATTTTGTGTTTTTATGTAATTTGGTTGGTAGATTTTCTCAATTTCTTCTATTGTTAGATCTCAAATTTGAATAAGAACTTCCTGTTTCTGCATAGTTCTTACAATTTAATTTTTTATTACTTAAAAAATCTATTTGGAGCATAGTTTGGTAAATAAGATCATCCTCCAATTTCTATTATACTGTTTATTTACTTCTTCCTTTCACCATTGTTTCATGATGCTTGTCCTATCATACTCAGTTGACTCTTGGATTTAACATTGGCAGCCTGTGTTATCTGTGAGGAAGATACCAAGGGTTTGTGTTACATAGCAATCTGTAGTTTTACTATGGTGAGGTCAGTGTGCAGGACTGAGTAATTTAACTAAGTAATTTAGTAACTCACCATAAAACTAAATGACAGAGAAAGTCTTAATATTTTTTCCCTATCATCCAGAACTAAAATATATTAGTAAAATTTATTCTCTTAAGAGCAGGTCATCTGAGTTATAGTCCCTAGAGCAACCCAGCAGCTCTAATTTATTGTATGGCTCTTTTGTTTTTTTGTTACTTATTTTGGGATATATGAGTTAATCTCATGAAGTAATTAAAAAGTTTGTTTTTCTGTAGCAAAAGACTTAAATTGGAAAACTAGGTGTGGACTTTGAGTAAGAAAGAAATCTAGACAGATAATTTTTACCTAGAGAAGAAAAAGATTTTTTTATTGCTTTTAATCCTTTTTTTATATAACAATTCAGGGTTTCAAAGGGTTATTACCTTTTAAGTTGTAGTTTGCTTCATTTTATAGGGAACAGTTATACTGTGGTATTAATTTACTAGAATTCAAATACTATGATTTTTAAAATTTCTTTCCCTTAAAAAATTTTTTTGGACTATTTTTTTGTATTTTTCATTATCATTTAGTTTCCTTGTATGATTTAAATTTTTTTTTTATATTCAAACAAAACCAAACAAAAAATACTGATAAAATTTTGAATATTTTGTTTTTTGGCAAAGACTTTAAAACAAATATTTACTATTTGCGATTGTGTATAATTTCATATAAATACACGGTAGCTACCCTTTAAATAAAATACTTTGGCTTTATGAAAACTCAGCAAGCTGTCCTTGTTCACTTTGCTTTGTACGGTACAAATGTCTTCATGGTAATTGTAAACTTGGAAATATTCAGAGTTTTTTGATGTATGACTCATGAGTGTGAAGGATCTATTCTATTATATTTTCATGAAATTCTATTTCTAGGCTTTAATCTGCATCACTGATTTCTGGGCCAGCATGTCATTTTAATTATTGCTTTTTAAATTTTTGATATTTTGTTTTAGCATAATGGCACCACCCATCCATCTTTGTAGAGTATTTCTTATTGATTTTTCCCCCTCAAATGAGCTTTAAAATTGTTTTTGAGTTTTAAGTAACTCTATCCTGAGGGTATTTTGATTGAGAATGTGATAACATTTGTAAATTAGTTTGGGAAGTTGATTCTTTTGCATTACATTTGGAATTTGTGTATTATTATTTATTATTGTATTATTTTCCATATGAACAACTGTAAACCTGCTTTTGCCTGACCCTGTATGTATTTTCTTCATTCTGGAATTAGAAATGTCTCCTACTAATCTTTTTAAAAAATTAAAGCCTTGCACTAAAGTTTTAAATGCTGAATTATAAACAGTATCTTAATATGTCTATAGTTTTTCTTGTGTTTACATGTAATGTATTTTGTGTTATTACTGTATTATAAAATCCAAATTTTTCAAAGTGCACAAATCTCCAGCAGTTTGGCAAGGAGAGACTGGTTGTCACGAGTCATCATCACGTGTTCCCAGACACTCTCTCAAAGCTCGGAAGGATCTGTTTCTTGCAGATGATACGTGATATGGGAGGCCTGTTCTGAAGTGGTGTTCAGAACACATAGGTTCAGATAAAAGGTAGCATCTACATAATACTGGGTGTTACCTGGGTGAACCTTACTGAAAAGGAATGAAAAAGTCTCTGATTGTCTGGTGTGTTAAGTAGAATGGGGTTTTACTTCCTATTCCTGAGCAGTGTTTTACCATTTCAACGTTAACTATTTCACAGTGGTTTGACAATTAATACTATGACTTGACCTCAGGTAGCTTTTTTTTTTTTTAATTGAAGTAATTATTGTCTTTCTCCTTCTGACAGAGATCTATTAGGTCTTTTGCCAATGATGATCGCCATGTAATGGTGAAACATTCAACAATCTACCCGTCTCCTGAAGAACTTGAAGCTGTTCAGAATATGGTGTCTACTGTTGAATGTGCTCTTAAACATGTCTCAGATTGGCTGGATGAAACAAATAAAGGAACAAAAACGGAGGGAGAGACGGAAGTGAAGAAGGATGAGGCCATAGACACCCATTCCAAGTGAGTGTGGCCTGACCTTTGTGGCGCTTTACTGTAGCACCCAGAAAAGCCCAGGGTCCCCTCCCCCTGTGTTACATTTGGTACATGGTGCTCTTTGGGTTTTCTCATTTACATGACTGTAAACAAGGAAGTAAGTGTGGAAATTTTCTTGAGTTTGAAATTTGAAAGGAATAATGATGAGACCAGAAAAAGAAGGACTTGTCAGGATGCTTTCTGAGAGCATACCAAGCCCTTTAAAGTCTCCTCTTTTTGGAAGTTGTGATATGGCACGTTTCTCATGATTGGTTCACCCTCCTTAATTTGGACATGAATCATAGTGTTTTTGGTCACTGGGGAAATCATAAAATGTAATTTTTGTCAGGTTTTTCAAAATCCTGGTGTAGAAGAAAGAGTACAGTAAAATTGATTCCCAGGACCAACAGTGTCTTCAAGATAATAAATGCTTATTGGATATTTGTAGATGCAAGAAGGCCTGCTCGGAACCAGACCCTTCAACAGTTAAAGCAGAGTATTCTCAGTGCTGTAATAATAGTAAGAGATAAGTGAGAAGACGCTGCTGACAACTGGAGTCCCATGATGAAATTTTTCATGCTGTGCTAAGCTTTGAGTTACTGTTTGGAGCAATGTCGTTCTGCCTGGAATAAGTATGGTTGACTGTGAGAGGTGAAGCTCATTTGTACTGTATTAATAGAATTAAAAATAGTATTTTGGCTAATATTTATAAATTGAGACAAGAGGTTATAGGATTTTTTCCCAGCTTTAATTCTAAATCAATATGTAAGTAGTCCATAATAATAGGAAAGTATTTACAAATTGATTTCTTCACAGAAAGATAGTGTAACCTTTTCATTTTCATATGAAAGATAATCTGTATCAGTTTTTAGTTGAAGAACATAATTCCTTGACTTTGTTAATGGTTTACAGGTAATATAGACATTGTATCTAGTTGTAGTCTTATCAGCCTCGAGGTTCTTGGCGGTAATTCAGTTTTTCTCACATATTATGGCTTTAAAAAGGACACTGTCAAATTTTGGGGTTCATGTTACTTAGTAATATTATCTAATTATCTAGTTCTATATATCCCAGTCTCTGCGTAAATTAAATCTTCATAAACTCCATATTTACATTGTATTTGGGAATATGCGTCTTTTAAAACTTTTTCAAAATTGTAAAATATATAACATAAGGGTTACCATTTTTACGGGGTTTCCTTTTTTAGTGGAGTTCATGCCTTTTAAATACATCTTTTGTTTGTTCTCATGGCTGAGTAGACCTTTGGAAAGTGTTCCAATAGACTTTTGCCTAACTGGATCAGGTCACTGTGTTTTAAAGGTTTTTAAAAGATAATGTGCCTCATATCTTCATTTGAATTTTTAAATATAGTTTTCTGTGTGGATGCTCTTGGCTGTCTATAAAGTCTTTCTATTTTGTGAAATAGTCACAGGTTGAGAGCACTTGTCTGTGATTCTTCCCACCTGGTGGAATTCAGTTGTGCAGTGATTGTGTTCTTATTTTGTACAAGCTAGAGGCAGGCACATTGCCCAGGAGCAAAGCTGTGTTTGATAATAGATACATACTGTGCTCCTGGTATATGCTGAGTACTGCAGAGGGCACAAGATGGGTGAGGGATAGCTGATAGTTATTAGGAACCTTCTATTGTCAGGCAGCTTTTATTTTACCTTTTTACAATCTGACTCAAAAGTTGAGTTGCACAGAGTTCCACTATTTGTATTATGAGGAATACTAGGATTCGGTCCTTAATTTTATTTTTTTAAGATTTTATTTTTAGAGACAGGGGAAGGGAGGAAGAAAGGGAGAGAAACATCAATGTGTGGTTGCCCCTTATGCGCCCCTCACTGGGGATCTGACCCACACCCTAGACATGTGCTCTGACTGGGAATTGAACCAGCATCCCTTTGCTTTGAAGTCCCGAGCTCAATCCACTGTGCCACATCAGCCAGGGCTCTCTTCTTAATTTTATTTCCTATGTTTGGGTTGCTTGCTTCGCAATGCCTTCTATATTCAAATTCATTATTCAACTTCAGGACTGAATAAGGACTTAGTTTCTCTGCTTAGTTATGCTGTCTTCTACATGAGAAGGTCACGTATATCATAATTATGATATAGAACTCAATAAGCGATCTAATAATGGCTAGTTAATAATAGCTACCATTTATTGAGTACCAATTATTTTCCACATTACTGTACAATAAATCTACCAGTCTCTCTTATTATTACCCCCTCTTTTGCCCCTATTTTACTTATGAAATTTTCTCTGCTTTAGATTTGCTTACAAAAAAAGTGACTTGGAATCATTAACAAACTTTAACTTGCTTCAGGTCACTGAATGAGTGTGTGTGGTGGAGCCAGGATTCATATTTAAGTCTGTCAATTCCAGATGCAGTTTTCTTAGCATCTTTGCTTTGATTTCCTGTGACTAAAATGTAAAAGCACACAGCAGGGAGAGATTATATGCTGGTTTTGGTGATCAGAAAAAACTTTATGAAGGAAGTAGCACTTAGAATTGGTTTAGAGGATGGGTAGGACATTGGCACAGATAGTAAAAGCGGAAGAAGAAAATGTCAGCAAAGATCTAGGTGTGAGAAAGTATAGGGATGTTAAAGGATTAACAGCTACTGTTTATCAAGCTATTAATATATGTCAGGCTCATTACTTAAATGATAGTCTCAGTACTTGTCTGAGTGTAACGTATTATTTCTTTTTTACCAATGGGAAAGCGGGCTCAAAAAGCCAGGAAATTTGTAATTTGTTCAGTGTTACACAGTAAGTTGCAGAGCCAGGGTTCAAACCAGGAAGTCACACTGTCTTTTAAATTGCCTGTCAATATGCCAAGTGTCTAAGTGTTCAGTGGCATGCCAGGAAAGTGACAAGGAAGGTGCCATTTGTGCAGCACTCCTGGAAGATTATCCTGGTTGCAGGACACTGTATACAGTAGATTGGAGATGGCAGAGGTTAGTCAGTAAGGCCAATGAAAGGATGTTATTGAGGTACTATAACAGCTGAAAAGAAACTCGTTTGAAAGCAGTGGTTCAAAGGTGGTTATGGAGGGGGAATTTATAAATGTTAGATTTGGGAGAATGAGAATATGAGAGGACAGGGATACATAAAGAAATTAAAAATGACTGACTGTTCTTAATATTAAATAATTCCCTACATTTGGGTCACTTGCTTTAAAATAATTTAAATTTTTTTGTATACTTTTATTACTGTTTTTAAAGTTTTTAAATTACTATTTATTGAATCTGTAAGCCGTGCCAGGCACTGAACCAGTGACTGTAATATTTATAATTGACTGCCGTGTTTCCATTTCCACGGTTTGTTTTCTCTCCTTCCTCTAGTTCATTATTTACTCTGCTGACTTTTGCCCAACTCTGCTGATTCTTTGCCTCCAGCTGGAATGACCTTTTTTCTGTCTAACCGAATCAAGACTAGGCTGAAGTCAGATTTTCAGGTTGCTCCGTTTGACCTTTCTAATTTAATTTAGACTTCTCCCTCCTCATACTTGGGATGCAACCATAATAATGTAAAGAACCTGAGTGTGGTGGTCAGACCAACTCGAGTGTGAATCCAGGCTTTGCCATTTTGCTCTCTGTGCGAGCCTGAACAATTAATTAGCTTTTCTGATATTAACATTTCTTGTCTGTCAGGTGAAGGCTTGTTTGAGTTTGAGTTTAAATGAGAATTGTGGTGTGCAGTTTGTTCTCAGATGTTGCTTTCTTCTTCCCCTTTTGAGCAGGTTACTGCTTTTGCACTTAACCATAGTTCAAGCCTCGGAAGCAGGAGTGGTTGGATCTCCTTTAGCATGATTTCCATACTCAGATATTTGCTTGTTGATTGACTGCTCAGCTTAGTTAGGGTGTCACCGTGATTATGGAAAGTGAATCAATAGAAACTTAAAATCAAGAAGAGATGCTACCCTTGTTCTTTGCACCACTCATGACTTGATGTTCTTGAGTATTTTTTCTTTTAGCTACCGCTGGGTTTGAAATGTATTCCTGGCAGATTATCTTTGGTCTGTTCTTTCCTCAGCTCGTTGCTTTTTATCACATTATTCTGATTTCCCTGTAAACCCTTGTGTGTTCATAGAATGATTCAACTAGAAGGGATGAGTGAAGGCTCATCTAGCTGGCAACCACTTGTGGGTACCACACCAGCAGGCATCACTAGGAGTAGAGTCCAGGGCGTTGGATTTTCAGCCTGATGCTTTCTTAGTCCACCATGATGTTCATATTTCTCACAGATCCTTTAGTTACCAATAAAAAAATAATAGGGTCTTTTAAAGTTTGAAGCTAGTGTTTCAAATTTTTATACCTGACTAGTGTTTAAGGAGATGTAGTATTTTTGGGTTTTCCTGAATAATATAGATGTAATGAAAAAAAAATTAAATTTGTAGTGTACAGTGTGCTCCCTATTGCTTCCTTGGGGAAGATATTTTATGAGCCTTAAATCAGAGACTTAATTATATGGAATTTTGTATATCCGAATTTATATACCCCCTTACCAATTCATATGGATATCCAGGAAGCCAAGTTACGTTTAGTCTTGGAAATGGGTTGTGAAAGTAATCACTCAGACTTTTATTTTTAGGGATCAAGGTGGTCGGACATTGTGTGGTGTGATGAGGATTGGCCTGGTGGCAAAGGGCTTGCTGATTAAAGACGACATGGACTTGGAGCTGGTTTTAATGTGCAAGGACAAACCCACAGAGACCCTGTTAAATACAGTCAAAGATAATCTTCCTGTTCAGATTCAGGTGAGTACAGTTTAATTACACTTCTAGGAGAACTTGTAAAATGCTGAAAATAGGTAGTGATTTTGAATTCAGTAATAAGAAATTGGTTGTTAAAGAGTCCAGGCAAAAGGAATACTGGTACTCTGGGCCAGTGGCTCATCCATCTCATTGAAAGCAACTTTCTGGTGATTAGTTCTCTGGATGTATTCATCAAAATTAAGATGGCTCTTAAGGTACAGTTTTAAATTTTTCAGGTGTATCTTGCTGAGAGTCTTGTTTTCTGGACCGGGTCTCTCAGCATTGTGAAACTCTTGGAAGGGTTGGTATAATGCAGAAAAGACTTAAAAGATCAGAAAGAGCCTACTGGGTCTTTAAGAGAAATAATATATGAGGAAACCAATTTTACCACAGGCAAGCAAAGCCTAGACAACTGGAGATCTGCATAAATGATAACTTTTAATATTTTTTTCAGATCTTACTTACTTTTAGAGAGAGGGGAAGGGAGGGAGAAAGAGAGGGAGAGAAACTTGGATTGGTTGCCTCTTGCATGCCCACAACTGGGGATGTTGCCCGCAACTCAGGCGTGTGCCCTGACCAGGAATGAAACCAGAAGCCTTTCAGTTTGCAGGATGACACCCAACCCACTGAGCCACACCAGTCAGGGAGATAACGTTCAGTATTGAACACTCAGTTGATTTAATAGTCATCCATTCATCGGTTAATAGAAAGTCACTGTTAATTCCTTGTTTCCAAACTTTTTTCACACTGTGTGACACATATTAGAAAATTTTAATGTTAGCATGGTTCTTGAAGGATGCAGGTGAAGGCTGAAAGCTCCTCAGGGCTGGAGGCAACACTAGGACTGGCTCTGCCATCCTGCTCTGAGGACCGGTTGCGTCTCTTATTGGAAAACCGTGATGATCTTTCAGTTTCAAATGTGTTATATGCGGTCTTATTAAATTGTAGCTTTTCGGTGATGATTTTATGTCAGTTAGTACTTATGTCCATGTGAAGTAAATAGATACCAGTCCACAAGGTCCAAACTCTGAGTTGTTACAAGTTCTCTTTTCTTCGTTGTTTTTTTAATTTGTATTTTACTGAAAAGGTTCCTTTTTTTCAAGTAATAGAAATTTTGAAGTTGTTTTTATTAGCTTTATTAGTGGTTCATTTTCTTTCATTTTTATCAACCGAATGCCAGAACCATCTTTCTGGTTTTTTTAATCTAACATTAAAAAAAATCCTCACTTGAGGGTATTTTTGTTGATTTGCAGAGACAGGCTGGAAGGGGGAGGGGGGAGGAGAGCTAGAAAAAGGAAGAAAGAAACACCGAGATGAGAGAGAAATGTTGATTGGTTGCCTCCTGTACGCTCCCCGACCAGGGACTGGACCCGCAACCTAGGTATGTGCCCTAACTAGGGATCAAACTGCAACCTTTTGGTGTATGGGACAATGTTTCAACTAACTGAACCATCTGGCCAGTTGTGTTACTTGTTGACACATTCCCCTATATTAATTTTTGGAGCTACTATTTTATCATTCTGCCTTAGATGTTAAGATACAGTTTTTAAAAGATTTTGTTAATGTATTTATTTTTAGAGAATGGGGAAGGGAAGGGAAGGGAGGGAGAAAGGGAAGGAGAGAAACATGATATGTGAGTGAAACATAAGTCAGTTGCCTCTTGCCAATCCCCAACTGGAGGAGATCTGGCCTGCAACCCAGGCATGTGCCCTGACTGGGAATTGAACCAGTATCCTTTTGGTTTATAGACTGGCACTCAATCTGCTGAGCTACACCTGCCAAGATACAGTTTTTTAATTGACTGGCAAACATTTGGCTTTTTCATTTTTGATTCTGATGAAGAAATGTTTCTGGCCTTTCTTAAGGTTAAATTTCTTTTCTATTATTTATTTATTTGTTTGTTTACTTAATCCTCACCCAAGGAAATGTTTTATTGATTTGAGAGAGGGGGGGAGAGAAAGAGAAAAAGAGAGAGATACATCGATGTGAGAAAGAAGCATTGATTGGTTGCCTACAGTACATGCCCTGACCAGGAATTGAACCCGGAACCTAGGGATGTGCCCTGATCAGGAATCAAGGCTCACAACCTTTTGGTGTATGGGACGATGCTTCAGTCAGCTGAGCCACTCAGCCAGGGCAAGGGTTAAATTTATTTCTTAAAAAAAAAAAAAATTTAAAGCCCTTTGTGATCATTTAGAAGACGAGAAGTGGTAAGCAACATGGAGTACAATAAATTTAGTTTTAAGAAACAGAAAGCTCAGTAATGGGTTCTGGCTAACTATACTTTTTGTTATTAGGATGTTAATAAAATTCATTTTGTTTCCCTTATCTTTTTTAATGCTTAAAAAGTGAATCTGTATTCTTTTGGTAAAGTGAACATTGTTACTCTTAAATCTATGATAAAGTAGTAATAAAATGATTGGATATTAGAAGCTCTTTCAACCATCTCATCCCTCTTTCTGTTCCCTTTAGCGAGTCTTCTTTCTTTCTTTTTTCATTAAAAAATTTTTTTATTGATTATGCTATTACAGCTGTCCCAACTTTTTCCCATTTGCCTCCTTCTCCACTCAGTACCCCCGTGACCTCCAGCAATCCCCTCCACCCTTAATTCATGTCCATGGTTCATGCACTTAAGTTCTTTGGCTACTCCATTTCCTATACTGTTCATAATATCCCCTTGTCTATTTTGTACCTACTGATTATGCTTCTTAATCCCTGCACCTTTTCCCTATTTTCCCCTTGCTCTTCCCAACTAATAACCCTCCAAATTATCTCTGTATCTATGATTCTGTTCCTCTTCTGCTTGTTTGCTTGTTTTGTTTTTTAGATTCAATTGTTGATAGTTGTGAGTTTCTTGCCATTATGTTCATAATTTTAATCTTTTTCTGATATAATTCCCTTTAGCATTTCATACAATAAGGGCTTGGTATTGATACACTCCTTTAGCTTTACCTCGTCTAGGAAGCACTTTATCTGCCCTTCCATTCTAAGTGATACCTTTGCTGGATAGAGTAAGCTGGGTTATAGGCCCTTGCTCTTCATCACTTTGAATACTTCTTGCCTGAACAGTTTCTTTTGAGAAATCAGCTGGGAACTCCTTTGTAGGTAACTATCTACTTTTCTCTTGCTGCTTTCAAGATTGTCTTTATCTTTAACTTTCGCCATTTTAATTTTGATATGTCTTGGTGTGGTCCTTTTTGGGTTCATCTTGTTTGGGACTCTCTGTGCTTCCTGGACTTGCATGTCTATGTCCTTCATCAAATTAGGGAAGTTTTCTTTCATTATTTGTTCAAATAAGTTTTCAATTTCTTGTTCTTCCTCTTCTTTTTCTGACACCCCTATTATTCAGATGTTGGTACGTTTGAAGATGTCTCAGAGGCTCCTTAGCCCATCCTCATTTTTCAAAAATTATTTTTTCTAACTGTTTTTCTGTGTGTGGTGGTTTTTGCTCTATGTTCCAAGTCGTTGATTTGATTCTCAGCTTCATCCCCTCTACTGTTGGTTCTCTATAGATTTTTCTTTATTTCACATACTGTAAACCTTCACTTTTGCCTGGGTCATGTTTATGCTGTTGAAGTACCCAATAAGTTCCTTGAGCATCCTGGTAACCAGTTTAAAACTTTGCATCTGATAGGTTGCTTATCTCCATTTCGCTTCATTCTTTTTCTGGAGTTTTGTTCTGTTCTTTCATTTGGGCCTATTTCTTTGTCTCCTTAATTTGGCAGCCTTCCTGTGTTTGTTTCTCTGTATTAGGTAGAGCTGCTTTGATACACTGTCTTAGTAGTGTGGCCTATTGTAGAAAAGCAGACCTGTAAGTTGTATGGGGCAGAGCCTTAGATAATCACCAGGGTGGGGCAACCCATATCACCACTCTCTGGCTCTGCATGGGGCTCAGAGAGGGGACATTGTGGCTGCCTGGCTTCTAGAATTTTGCCTGAGAGGAAGCTGTCTCCTGTACTTGCCCTGCTGGCAGTCAACTTCAGTTTCTCCCTGTGTTCCACTTGTGCCCTTCCAACTGTTGCCATGGTCCTGAATTCTAGAGGGAGGTGAGTCTTTGTGAGTCCTACGTCTGTTGTGGGCCCTTTAAGAGGCATTTCTTCCACCGAAGTTTCCACTGGTTTTTACAAACCAAAGTTATGGGTACTGGAATCCTGAGCTGGGTGGTCTAGTCTGGGGCTGGGCTTCCTCATTCCTGAGGTATCCCTCCCGATTTTTATCCACCAGAGGTAGATGTGGGATCACCCATATCACGTCTCTGCATGTCTCCAGGCCTCTCTGTACCACTTCTTATCACCATGCCTCTCCGAGTGTTTCTGTACCACACCCCTCCTTCCTGTCTAGATGAATGTGGCTTCTTTAAATCCTTTGTTGTCGGACTTTTATAGAGCTTGATTTCCTGCCAATTCTGGATTATATTTGTTTTGTAGTATAGTGTAATTAAAAAAAATATTTTATTTATTACTTTTAGAGAGGGGGGAGGGACAAAGAGAGGGAGAGAAACATCAATGTGTGGTTGCCTCTCACAGGCTCCCAACCAGGGACCAGGGCCCCAACCCAGGCATGTGCCCTGAGTGAATCGAACTGACGATCTTTTTGGTTCGCAGGCTGGCGCTCAATCCACTGAGCCACATCAGCCAAGGCTCTTGTTGTAATTTTTGTTGTAGTTGTATGGGGAGGTAAGGTATGTTTACCTATGCCTTCATCTTGACCAGAAGTTCAAAGAATGAGTCTTCTTTCTTAAGAGACTGGTCATAGTCCTCATGTGTCAGAGTGAAAAGGGGTTGACAACCAGTGCTGTAATACATCAAAATGCTTATTCGAGAAGTCTGTCACATTTCTCGAGTATTGAAGCTATAGGAGATCGGGCCAAGTCTTCATAAATAGAGCTTTCTCTGTGCAGACCACAACTGTGAGAACTCTGCATTTTTCCCCCTTCCTGAGTGAGGGTCTTTATTTCTGGGCACCACAGTTTTGAAATGCTCTTGTCAAGCTAACAAGTGTTCAAGGGAGTGATGCAGGAGAGAGTGCCTGCTGTGTAAACCAGTTCAAATATAAAGACATTGGGCCTTTTTAGGCAAGAGAAGACTAAATGAGACACAAATAGCTTTAGGTCTTCGAAGGGCTTCTTGGAGAAAGTAAAAGAGGCCTGAACTCTTAAGATCAATAAGGGAAATGATGAGAAACGTTTCAGTTAAATATAATGAATAAAGTTACCAACACTGAAACCAGCTGCTTTGTATTATTGTTAGATCCATTACTGTAGGTACTTGGGTAAATGTGTCCAAATAAAATGGGGATCTAATTGTAGATCCATTTCATTAAATTGTATACGTATACACACACGTATGCCCAAATATATACATACAAGTACACGTATATGTTATTATTATTACTAATCATTTTCCAGAAAATTATTTTAAGGACGATTTTCTACTTTTACTCTCTGCTTCCCCCTTGTTTTCTTACTGTTTGTATGGAAAACCAAACTCTAATATGATCTTATTTTCCTATAAGTTTAAAAATCTTTATTTTTTTGGCCCTGGCCAGGTGGCTCATTTGGTTGGAGTGTCATCCTATATACCAAAAAGGTTGTGGGTTCAATTCCTGGTCAGGGCACATCCCTAGGTTGCAGGTTCCATCCCCAGCTGGGGCATGTGCAGGAGGCGCCTGGTGTATATTTCTCTTTCACATCAATGTTATTCTCTCTCTCTCTCTCTCTCTCTCTCTCTCTCTCTCCCTCTCTCCCTCTCTCCCTCTCCCCCTCCCTCCCCCCCCTTCTTCTCTCTCTACAAATTAATGAAAATATCCTTGGGTGAGGATTTAAAAAAAAGAAATAGAAAAAAATGGTTTTGAGAATTTACCACAGCAAAACTTTTCAGTTATCTAAGTACCTTAATTTATTGAAGTTGTACCAGACCTTCTGTACATATTCTTTTCTAGGGCAATTTTAGAACTTCCTTGAGCAAGGAAGGACATAGATGATTGAAACCAGAAATCACTTATAATTATTTAGTTCAAAATTCTTACCATATGTTTATTACTTTGGATGTATCTTATAGTGATCTGCATGCATTGAAAAATTTAGTGCCCTGGCCAGGTGGTTAGTTGGTTGGAGCATTGTCTTGTACACCAAAAGGTTGCAAGATCCATCCCCCAATCAGGGTACCATACCTAAGCTGTTGGTTTGATCCCTGGTTGGGCCTCGAACAGGAGGCAGCTGATGGCTTTCTCTCTCACATTGGTATCTCCCTCTCTCTTTCTCCCCCCCCCCTTCCCCGCTGTTCCTCTCCCCTCCCCTTCCTTTCTCTCTCTAATCAATAAACTTATCCTCTGGTGAGGATAAAGAAAAATTATCTTGGTTTGTTCTCTGATGGACAACTTTAATGTTCTAATAGCAGCAGGATGAATGTGAGCAGTTTTGTGCTTTTTCTGTGTATTCTAGCTTTGCCCTTAAATTGTGTCTAGTTGTATGTGGAAGCAATGTACATGTCCCTGTGGGTGTCAGATGACATGTCCCACAGTGACAGGCCTACTGTAATGACTGAGACCATGTGAGAGAAGTGAAGTTACTACTTGTTTATACTAATTTTGTTGCTGGTGAGTGACTGTGCAGAGATTCTTTTTTATTCATTCCTAACTTGATTCTCTTTAGAAATGTACATAATTCTATGTAAAAATCTACTTAATCTTAAATTTACAAGTCCTCAGTAAGTGGGCGTTCCTTTTTAGGCCGTCCTGTCAACAAAAGTATTGGTTAAAAGAGCATTCCTAGCCATTTATTTTTCTATAATAGTCCTCTGTAATAACTTAACAAACAGTAATTTACTTTTTGTCAGATAATGATGTTGTTGCTATTTTACTTTCAAATATTAGAAAGAATGAATTTAAATAGTGTTTATAATTGTACAGAGAGTTGACATCGTGGTTGCTTTTTGAGGGATGGAGAAAGGATCTGCTGATAAGTTGGGAGGAGAAAGAAATGTTCTCCCTAAAGAACTGGTAATGACTTTATTTACTCTCCTGGCACAGCATTTCTAATTATAACACTTGAAAGCTAAGGAGCAGTCATTCATTTTTTGAAATTTTGATCTAATTAACTGGGTGTTTTTGAAATCTCGGTGACTTTCAGAAACTCACAGAGGAGAAATATGAAGTGGAACAGTGTGTGGATGAGGCATCTATTATAATTCGGAACACAAAAGAGCCCACGCTAACTTTGAAGGTGATCCTTACATCCCCACTAATCAGGGACGAGTTGGAGAAGAAGGATGGAGGTACATACACGTGAACACTTGTTTTGTTTTTGTTCCTGGAGAATGTCTCGAGTGCTGTGGTAACTGCTGTATAGATTTCTTAAGTAACTGTCTCCATTTATCTTATGCCATTTACAGATGTACTTCAGAAGTTACTACAGCATTTTAAACAGCTTTGCACTACATAAATCACTGTATTTTGAAAAAATGTATATATTTGAGATATAAAATATGCTAATTCAAAAACCTGTGCTTATGCCGGGCTTAACTCTAACTTTTATACTATTTTGGTGTTCTGTTTTAGTTTGTCTCATATTACATTGTTATTGGCATCATTCAACCTATTCTATATAGTTTGGCTATTAGGTGTGATTTTAGGATTAAATGTGGACCAAAACAGTATTTTTGGATTTATTCAGTTAGTATTCAAATTACTCATTTGTACATTGCTCTTGACTCATAATGATGTATAACCTTATAAGATTTATCCTTAGCTTAATTGCCTGTGTGTAAATATGTTTTATAGTATAAGAGATCTAAATTGCGGGATTGAATTTTTAAAATAAATAATCTCTAGTGAATTATTTTTCTAGCAGTTTTGGGATCCTGTTAACATTTTGAATATGGCATATGTGGGAATCATGCCTTAAATTCACGTCTGAAGTGAAGAAGAATTTCTGTGTGGCAGTGTCATCCTTGTAACAGTAGAGTGAGACACCTGGTCAGTTTTGAGAAGTGATGATGGAGCTGAGCTTCTTTTTCTGAGGTTTTCATCCTGTCGTGTTAGCTTGTTTCTGCCTTTCAGTTTTGTCCTTAGAAACTTGCTGTGTGATGCTTGTCTTGTGTCAGGCTGTTGACCAGCCAGCCCCTCTCTGTCATGACACTTTAGAGGCGGGGCAGTCTCTCTGGCCAGTGGGGACTCCCTGTTGCGACTTTTCATCACTAGACATTTAACAAGCCCTGCTTACTCCCCTACCTGAAATACCAATGCAGTAAGAAATATTGGTCAGTTTCTTAATTTATTTCAAGTTGACGGTAAAGGTAGAAAAAGACATTTACCAGTAACATAAGAACTTTGAATTTTGGCAGACATGTAATAGACTCCTTTTAAAAAAGCTTTTGAGGTAACTCAGGTTAGCTATACCAAACCTAACAACATAAACTAGATACACTTATGAGTTACAGTTTAAAATTAAAGTGCATCCAGTCTATAATTGGGTTTATGCATGGGTTTATTTACTTTTTATTTGCTATATATAGTATCTCTAACATCTCTGAAGAACGGATCTTAAATGGCTTAATTTCTTTAACAGCTTTTCAGTTCATCATTAACTGTAGAACTATAAAGTGATTTCTGAAGTATCAAGATAATTCTTTTAATTCTGGTAAGCTGTGTTCTACTTGAACCACCTAGTGTAAAACTAACAATTTCTAAGTAGAGTTATAATTATAGGTATTGTTAAAAATTATTTGAGTATAGAGAGATGAGAAAAAGGCCAAAATTGCCAAAGATTACATTATAATTATATGTTTGCTTGTAGCTGTAGGCATCCCTTCCATTATGCCTTTGAAAGAATTAAGAGAATGTCAAGCTTTTTTTCTTAGGGTTTTGTGTACTTATATGGGATTTTGTCATTGTTTGCAGTGAGATACCCTTAAGCTTAGTCTGTTGCTTTTATTACTTTAATTTTGTTTAGAGAAACTGAAAACAGATTCTTAGTGTATTATATCCTTACTAGAAGACCAGTTTAGTTATAGGATGGAATTTGTGGTAAAGTTATTCAAGCTCCCAAGACCTCTTTATGAGCTGAATCTCACCGGCTGGTGGTACCGTTGTGTGGGACAGGCAAGGTGCAAGAGTCATCGTGGCTCTAGTGTCTTATACATGTTACTTTTTGTTCTCTCAAATGGCCCAGAGGTGTGCTTTGCTATTGTCCTCAATCTCCCAGCACTTTTGACTCATTTGTTCTCTCTTCTGAGTTGCTCATTTTGTCTAATTTGGGCTTTGTCAGAAACTGTTTTGTTTTGTTTCCTGTGTGCTAGCAGTTTTGTGTACTCCTGGGCAAATTTGAGGATCCGGCATAACTGAGCCCTCGAGCCCCGGACTGTACACTTCATTCTGTGGGACTTGATTCCGCATGCTGGACAGATCTCTCCCTCTTGACGTAGTTCTCAGCTGCACGAGGTGAAAGCACAAGATTATTAGGGTAACAGGAATTTTTACAAGTGAGAGATATCCCCTTAAAAAAAATCTCCACTCGTGTTCTTTCTCAAAGTTAAAAAAATACATCATAACTTTTTTCACAGTATTTTCTGTAGAATCTCAACTTCTCTCGTCCCACAAAATGGACTGTTTTATGTATGTATATCACCTCCTTCTCTTTCCCATTTTCACTTGCCACACGTTTGGGTGAATTTTTCAAAAAAGGTGTGGTTGAAAGCAGAGAGAAGTGGAGAACAGGGACGGGGGAGGCTCTCCCAGTCTCCTCAGGGCTGCCCTGCAGACTGTTCACATTGTCAGGGGCCAGAGCGCACAGTGAATCTCTGTCATGGTGTTTAGTATTTCACAGGTCAGATCCCCTTGCGCTGTCAGTTGTATTTCCATATCCTAACCCTCCACCTGAAGGTCCTGTGGGATAACATGCTTCCTGCTACAGAAGGTGTGGGGGGCAAAGCACAGACTTCGGTGCCTGGCAGTCAGGGGTTTGATTCTTAATTCCATTAGTTGCTATTACTGTGTAACTTTGGACAGTTTCTTCATTTAAAAATGTGAATAATAAATACTTGAGAAAGTCGTTTGAGGTTAAATGAGAGAGTTGACGTAATGTGACCTGTTACAATACCCAGCACAAGCTCATTGCTCAATAAATAGTGTTAGCTTACAAAAAAGATTCACAGTGCAAACTTACCTACTAACCCTTCCTCAAACTCATAATGAGAGTGGTGTGTACAGGGTAGGTCTGAAGACCTGAACCTAAAGCCCCATGAAGTGCAGTATTGGGATCAGTATTCTGTACTTGCTGCAGTGCTCATAATGGGCTGGTTTATTTATGTAGCTTATGATTCATCGGGGGCAGGTACCTTATCCTTTTCCCCTAACAAAATGGACTGTTTTATGTATGTATCCACCCGGAATGCTACCTAACACATAGTAGGCAATAAAAAAAAAATTGTAGTTAGCATATTGTTTGATTAAATAGGACTGTCCAGTATGTAAGAAGCATTAACCATAGGCATTGCAGAGTTCAAACTTTGTTAAGGTATAAAATAACTATTTTATAATCACTTTTTCCTATATGACTCACTTTAACCCTCACAACAGCCATCTGAGGTAGGCAGTTGTCCTGTTTTATGAATGAGGAATGTATCACTTTGTACACTTACAGCTTCTGTGAGTCCGGAGTGCTGCCCACTCTCCCATTAGTGTCTAGGATGAGTGTTAGGAATGTCTTCCCTGATTTAGTTTTTCTGAGTGTCACACAATCACAGCTTCTTTTGGTGCTTGTGATTTTAAGCCAGAAGTGTGTTTGCTGTGAGGGTGATTAATCAGCTGTTTGTTATATTTACAGTGCAATTTGAAACCAGGTGGATAGGGAAACTACAGACACTCTTGTACAGGCTGAGGCTAAGACAAACCTCTGTCCTTGGGGGGAGTATTGGGGGAGACCTTGGGGGGCTCACAGAGAAACTGCCCAAGAGTCCCTTTACACGTGTTGGTACCAGTGCAGACTTATGACGCATCTCGACAGAAGTTCACTGGTGTGAGTCCTGCTAGGTGAAGGCATTAGAGTCTCACAACTGGGATTATAACAATGCTGCAGGTTTTATTTTCCTGCCTTCCCCAGCTGCTAGACCCGTGCTTATCAGTGCAAAACCATTAGTCATTGTCATTTCAGTGGCTAACTCTCTACTCTGAGGCATTGAAAAAAAGTCACACCGAGTGACATTTCTACCATAAATCAGGAGAACAGAGCTCTCTCTGATCTACTTTAATACTACATTATTTACCTGTACAGATTATTGTGGCCTGATGTTTTATGTAGACCGTGGCTTGGAGAATAATGTCTGCTCTCCACAAAGCCTCAAGGAATTGAAAGAAGGGGCTGCTGGGATATCTTCAGGCTAATTAGAAAATTCTATCAGCATGTACTCAGTTTCATCCATATTTTCAAGGAAGCCTTGGTGATAACCCAGCTCATTATTTTACCTTTGAACAGCCCAGGTTCCAGACATACAACTCCTGTTTAACAGTCATGTTCTGGCTTTTCTCTGCCCCACGTCCAGGCTAATGTTTTTGTTAATGGGAAGACAGTTAGCTTTCATGGAGTAAATTGAGAGAAACTGACCAACATTTCCTGTAGTACGGTGTGTTTCTGGTCACTGATCTAACCTCTAACCAGATAGTTAGGCATAATTCCAGTGCTTCTGTTATCCAGAATGTTTTATGTGTTTTCATGCCCTGATGCCAGTTACTGAGCAATAACTTTTTAAAAGCTGTTTTTCTTTGCTTTTTGGCTTTGTTGTCATTCCTTAAGCCCATCCCCCATACTATTTATCTGTTTTACTGGTCACTGTAGGAAAAAAATTAAATGTCTCACAATTCTATTGTTTCTAATTTAAAGACTCCAAGATGCCTTTTATCAGAAAAGCTTTGCTCCCACACAAAATTGAAACAGCTACATTGAAAGTTCATACAAAAATGTTAAACTTGAGTTTCTGCTATGGAAAGTAGCAGGGTTTTTCCGGCAGCATTTCTGTGATTGCCACATTTAGTAATTTTTCTTAATGAAAATATTTAAAACTGGCCCTGGCTGGTCCGGCTGAGTGGACTGAGCACTGGCCCGCGAACAAAAGGGTTGTTGGTTCGATTCCTAGTCAGAGCACATGCCTGCCTGGGTTGTGGGCCAAGTCAGGTCCATAGCAGGGAGTGTGCAAGCAGCAATCATGCATGCACTGATGTTTCTCTCCCTCTCTTCCTCCCTTCTCCTCCGTCTAAAACAAACAAATAAAATCTTTTAAAAAAAAATATATAAAACTGTATATTATTAATATATAAAGGAAATAGAGAAGCAGGACTTACAAGTAGTACTGTAGTTCCGTATGAATTTACATTGTTTTAAAGTAAGAAACTTTGAGGAAGATAAAATGAGATGAATTATTATATTTTCTCTACTGTGTCTGATCTCGTGAATATGGAAACATTTTGGATCTTTCGACGTTTGACTGTCAGAGCATGAAGAAACATGGTGATGTGATAGAGAATCTGGTGCAGGTCTTGTTCACTGCCTGTCCTCCATCTGTTTTTAGGAGCAGCTACTACCTCCAAACGTTAACTGTCTGTAGCAAGCTGATACCTCGGTTGTTTTTTAAATAAGAGTTTGTGGTTATAATGGGACTTTGGGGATGAAAGAATTTATGTGAATATTTTTGTTATTGTCCCTCTTTAAAAATATCTGTGTTGCAGTGAGCATGAGATGTTATTTTTGTAATTTTTGACCATTGGACAAAAGTACCAGAAATCTCAAAAAAGAGTTTTGGTTTGCCCTATCTTTTCCTATTCAAATTTCTTCTGCTTCACTCCTTTCTTCCCAACATTACTTGATAAGATGATAGAATAAAACTAAGCTTATCTTATTCTTAACTTAAAGACTGAGATCTTGAAAATTAAGTACAGTTCATACCTTTTCTTGGGATTTACACTACTTAGCAGTCAGTCAACCTTTGTCATGTCTAACTTTTAAGAGATTCTAGTAATTATTTATAGCCGTTTGTTTGATCTGGAATGTGAGCTTTACACAGGTGCTTGCATTGATCACAGTTACACATTCTGATATAACAGCATTAAAATGAGTTAGTTGTACGTTTTGTGCCATATAAAGACAGAATTGAGCAAGTCTAGGAACTAGATCACCTATGAAGTGAATATCCATAGTATATTTGTTTATGATTACAAGAAAACCCACATTAATCCTTCTTTTTGAGGCTTCCCATATTGTCAGTAAAAGGGTAGTAAAATGAGACCCTGTGTTGTGAATTTTTGGCAGAGATTAATGTGAAACAATGTGAATGTCTGATGTAGAACTCACGTGGTCAGAAAGTAAGTGTGTAGCTCTTCAGCCTTTACAGTGTTGCAGCCTATAAAGAGAACCCCAGTTTTTCCTCTAATAGATTTGTTTTCTGTTGGACATTATGCCTTCAGTTTTAGTTAATGGCAGGCTACTACTTGTAATATATAGTAAATTTGTCATAAGAGAATCTTGTAGTAAATCAGGAAACCAAAAAGTATCATCTGTCTCTTACTTAAAAATACTTACATTGTATCAGTTGGCCACACAAACATACAACCAATCTGAAGCATGATTATACTAGTAGGAAGTGTTGGTGGACTTTCCTGCATCTAAGAGTTTCTTAAAAGAGAAGGGTGAATCTGACTTAATTGGATTAGACAAAGAATTACTCCCTAAGAAACATTTGTATATTTCTTATACATTTAAATAATGCAACAAGCCTTCAAAATGTTGAAAAACCCACTTTGTAATAGCTTAGAGGGAATATATTTGGCTCTCTAAACTTGGATTTAGCATCATGTGACATTTTCTCAATTATGGATGTTTTTCAGTACAGTTTTTTGTCTATTTTTCCCATCCCAGCCTCCCCCGCCCCTTGCTCCCCACCTCCCTCCCATATCCACCCCCCTCCCATATCCACCCCCCTAAGTTCTCGTCCCTGTGTCATGGATGTTTTTCAATAATCACATGTTTGAATTTTTCTGTTTTGGGCCATCTAATCCATCTTTAAAATGTTAAGGCAAATCAAATAGCTGTAATTGGGTAATATTCTTTGCAGCCTTTAAAGAAAAGGGACATAATATAAAACTTGAAATGTACTTCAGTATATTTCACTTTTGTAGGTTTGGTATTTTGGTTTAGAAAAGAAATAATGAGGGAACTCAAAGGTGACACTTGAACAGTTTTCATCAATGGGTTAAAGTTTCTATTAATGGTTATTTTGTTGGATGAGTTTATTTAGTTGTAAAAAAAGAAAATTTCCATATGCAATGTAATCTTCGTGGATCTCAAACTGATTACATAAAACAGCCCCAGTTTTCCTTAAGACTGATTAGTGATTAAGATTCCTTCTATAAAGAAATAGTTAGTATTGCATTGGTCCCAGCTTCCCATTCTTCGTACCCTGCCAAAGAAAAAAGTACCATGTGCCTGTTTTGTGCCCTTTGGTGTTCTACACACGCTTAGTAAGATCCCAGATTGTACGTGGCAGCAGCCATTGCTTTGTTTACTGAACGAGGAATGCCTTTGTGTTCCTGTCGGACTCGTGTACAGAGTGTCTCTAAGGACTAAGGACTTTTCATCTAAGTAATCACAGTGCATGTAATTTAAAAAAACACAACAAAACCAGATCATGAAATCTGGGACTTTTATTGGTTCGCTCAAATGCTGCTCTTTTAAAATTTTTTTTTTTATTATTCAGTAATGTGACAGGAACCCCTTGGTCAAGTTTTATGCCCCTCTCTCTCTGTTTCATTTCCCCATTAGAAAAGGTTGCGATGAAAGACCCTCCGGACTTACTGGACAGGCAGAAATGTCTGAACGCCTTGGCGTCTCTCCGACATGCCAAATGGTTTCAGGTTAGCTCTTCGTTATTATCTTCCTGTTACTGTAGCCTTGTGTAGGTTTCATCTGGAAGACCTGCCACTTAATGGTTTCTGGGTAAAGTATGAAATGTGGGTACTCTCTACCTTTAGTGTCATCACAGGAATAAATGAGTTAATTTAGGCTAAATGCCCAGTATAACTTCTGTTACAGTTGATGTTTAATTATCATATCCTTTTTGGCTTAGTACTCTGAATTTCAAATGGTGGCTTATAAAGTGCAGACATGGATGAGAAAAGTTAAATGTTAAGATAGATAGTTGCCTGGAATAAGGTTGCCATGAGGCTCTAAAAGCAGTTTTAATCATATGCTTCCTTTACTTTAAAACCTGCCTTTCTTAACTGTAATTTTACAATTTTTAATAACTTGATTAAAAAAAATTTTTGACAACTGATGAATGACTGGCTAATTAGTATTCACTTTAAAGAGCCTATCCATGATCAGTTGCTTAAGGGTGGAATGGATTTCAACAGGGATACTGGAATCATTTTGTTTGTTGTAGGCAAGGGCAAATGGATTAAAATCATGTGTAATTGTCCTTCGCATTCTGCGTGATTTGTGCAACAGAGTCCCCACATGGGCACCATTAAAAGGATGGGTAAGTACTTAAATTTAGTTAAAAGCAAATTCTGAAGCTATAGTATAGAACTTACTTAATACTGTGAAGTGGCTATATTCTGAGTTAGCTAAGTAAGGTATGCATTGCCTGTTGTTCTGGAAGAATTATGCATCTTTTAATATGAATTCTTTCTTATTTATTTAACTTGTCTCTTTTACCTTATCATAATACATCTCACAGAACCTGAGAAATTTTTTTTCTGACAAAAATTTTCTATACCTATTAGAAGTGAATGTCTTTGGCACTTTGCTCTGCGCTAGTCACCACTGCCCAGGAAAGCCTCCCTGACTGGCGCATTTCTGTCTCCATGCTGCTTCCATTGAAGACAGAAATGACATGATACGTTGGTATAAGGCTCCCGTATCTCCTTTTTCTTTCTCTTTGAGTACAGACACTTACAGATAAATTTGTTAGGAATTAAAGTCAGATGAACAGTACATTTGACCTGTGGGCGTAGTTTATAAATGTATATTTCAAAACTTAATTAATTTGGAAATTACTGTGCCTGACCTACTCAAGACCAAAATTAAGAACATTATAAAACAAACAAAGCTATAAAGGGTCATTTTAAATTAATGTAGCAATTATTACTTTTAATTAATAGCAGTCTTTAGTATTTGGGGCAGGCTCTCTGCAGTGGAGTCTTACTGTGGTCTGCACGCTTCGTACATTATGTGGGAGGTAGGTGGGCTGGGTTTGGACATTGATTAGTTATTAGCTATTACTAATGTATATGAAGGTTTGTTAGATGTTTGTTATATCAGTTAGATGACCATAATTTCTTAAGTGATGTTTTCAGGGTTCTGAAAATAAGAGTTTTGTAACAAAATGTCTTCTGAATATATTTTGTGAAAAATAGTTGATTTTGAAATACTAATTGGGGTAAAAGTTGATCATCAGAGGGGAAAAGTTAATTGAGCCTTAAATGATAAATTGACTTTCACCTTTTTGGCCTTCATTGTAGATAGAAATGTCAGCTCACATTTAACTGGAATCCTTTTAACACTTGATGCATGTACTAATTTGTAATTTAATATCTTCTAGCCACTAGAGCTTATATGTGAAAAGTCTATAGGTACTTGTAATAGACCTTTGGGCGCTGGGGAGGCCTTGAGACGAGTAATGGAGTGTTTGGCATCTGGAATACTACTTCCTGGTAAGGGTTTCAAACTCTGGAGGCAGAAGAATCAGAAAAATCTCATTTTGGTTTATTTTTCTAAATATGTGTTAAATTTGTCCTCTACACAGGAAAGTGATATGTGGGAGTTGTTTTACTTGGAATTTTAGGAAAGAAGATGTTTGAATGTTGGAATAATGCTATAAAACTCTTTTCAATAAATGTAATTTATATTTTATATATACTAACATAAATGGTACTAATAAGGTATTATGTCTGCTTATGAATTTGCTTTACGTAGGACTCTGAATTTGAAAATGCAGATATTGGGTTAAAATGTAATGATCACTCTGTTTATGGTCTGGTGTTTAATTTACAAAAATTAAATGTGGTCTGATTTTCCATATGCAGTCCCTTTATAGATTTGGGATGATTTATCATGCTGTTTCTAAACTCCGAGAGTAAGACCCAATTTTGGCCTTAGATATGGAAGTGACTTCCAGTTAAATGAGGACATTTAAGTGCTAACATACTGAAAATGAGGATTGTCCTTTTTACTCTATTTAATTAAGCAGATGTAGTTTTTCAGTTTTTTTCCCTTCTTTGTTCTTTTTTTCTTCTCTCTCTTTTGTGTTAGATTTTTGAATTCTAAACTCAGTTCTAAATGACATTTGTGTTTTTCTTTTGCCTTTGCAAAAGGGGGTCCTGGCCTTCATGATCCTTGTGAGCGAGACCCAACAGATGCTCTGAGCTATATGACTGTCCAGCAAAAAGAAGAGATTACCCACAGTGCCCAGGTAGAAGATGGGGCATGTCGCTGTGACGTACGAGAGCAGGGGTGTCCAACCCGCGGCCTATGGGCTGCATGAGGCCCACAAGGGCTGTGAATGCGGCCCAACACAAAATCGTAAATTTACCTAAAACATTTGAGGGTTGTTTTTTTGTGTGTGTGTGATTAAATGTCTCAGTGTCATGGAAAAAAATGTACATATGCTCTTGCTATTTGTACCCATGTGTGCCTTCCATTCTACAGTGATGTGTGGCTTCCAGTGAGTTATCTTCCAAGTGCAGACAGTGGCTTTGACACCATCAGATGTGATGTGTGCTCGTGGTGACGTAGCGAGGCAGTGATTATCAATACTGTCTCAACCTGCCATTGCAACGTTAGGTGTTTAATGTTAATTAGAAGTCAGGTAACCATTCTTACTTGATTATTAAAGGTACTTCCACACCTCGGCAGTGTCTCCTGCATCACTTGTCATGCTTTACAATTGGCCCTCTGCCTTGCCTTGTATCAGTAGCCGAGAGGGCTGTGGATGGGCACAAACCCTGCTTTCTGTTTTCCTGTCAGTTGATTTTCATAATAAAAGTAAATAGAGTCCACTATCCTATTATTACTTTTTAATCCCAACATGGCTTCTACAATGTCTCAAAAGGTAAAAGAACCCCCCAAAAGAAAAATTATGGATGAAGGAGATTGTTTGATGAAAAGTAGACAGGAGACTACTTTCTTTGTCGAGGCAAATACTAAGGCCCTCTACGTAATTTGTAGGGAGTTTGTGCAAGTTCTCAAAGACTATATTTTGAAAAGGCATTACATGCAAAAAACACGCCGCCACATTCAATGTATATGAAGGATTGTGTTGTAAGGACAAAATAGCAGAACTGAAACAAAGTCTCAACAAATTTTTTTTCCAAAGTTAAACTTGGGTAGATTTTCCATTGTAAAAGCTAGTTGTGTTGTAGCATATATTTTTTTAAAATATTTATTTTTACAGAGTAGGGAAGGGAGAAAGAAAGATAGGGAAACATCAATGTGTGGTTGCCTCTCATGCACCCTCTACTGGAGGCCTGGCCCACAACCCAGGCATGTGTCCTGACTGGGAATAAAGCCATTCACTGAGGGTAGGTTTTTTAAGCAATGTATAGAAAGCTTGGCAGATGCAATTTGCCCTGAAAAAAGAGGGATATTTTTCAGATCACTTTGTGTCACCAGACTGTAGCCAGGCAAATTAAAGAAACTGGAAAATCTTTCAAAAGAAGTTTACAGAATAAAGCTGCTAATTTTAAATTTTATGCTTTGGCAATGGAGGATAGCACTGGTGCTATAGGTACAGCTTTCAACTTGCCATTTTTGTTAGAGGTATTGATGACAAACATAATGTCACTGAAGAAATGGCTTCTTTAGTGCCATTAAAAGACGCAACTAAATCATGAGTTTTATATGAAGCAGTAAAAAATATGTTAAAATCATTTTCTTTGTCCATTGTCAACATGTCTGGTATAGTTACTGATGGTGACTGGAGATGGCAGGGAAAAGAGAGGGCTTGTAAAATTAATAGGAGATGCTGCAGATGCTGCCCAAAACTCACCTTTGATGAAGCGTCATTGCACAGCACTTCAAGGAAATTGATGCACAAAAGCTTTAAAAGTAGATGACGTCATGCAACTCATCATCTAGACTGTGAATTTCATAAGAGCCAAGGGACTGAATCATTGCCAATTCCAGGAATTCCTTAAAAGTACTGACACTGGCTATAGTGACATCATTTACTTTTCAGAAGTAAGGTGGTTAAGTCAAGGCCAAATGTTAGAAAGATTTTTTTTTTAATGATTTGTGGCATGTTATCAAGTCATTGATGGTATCAAAAAACAAATTTTTACCAGAACTTGATGATGAAAACTGCCTTACAGATTTAGCTTTTTAGCGGATTTAACTGCTCATTTAAATGAGTTAAAAATGCATCTTGAAGGTGAAAACCGACTTATCAATATCATGTTTCCAACCGTAAAATTGAAATTATGGCAAGCTCAAACTAAGGCAAACAATTTTACATATTTCGACACGTTGGCTAAACACATTCCTGTGAACAGCAAAACATATGTAGACTTGCTTTTTGATTTGATACAATAATTTAAAATCAGATTTCAAGATTTCTGGGAAAATAATATTTTGCTATATTTGTGACTACATTTTCAGTCGACATAAATATGTTACCTGCCAATTTTCAAATGGAATGTATAGAGCTACAGTCTGACATTCAACTTAAAATTTGATTGTATCTCTTTACTGGACTTTTATGGGTCCTGTCTTCCCAGAGACAAATGTCCCTTGGTTCACAGTCACTCCTTGTTCCTGTCATTGCTATTCGGCAGCACCTACGTCTGCGAGCAATTAATTTCAAGAATGAAATACATTAAGAGTAAAATAACCAAAATATCTGACAAGCACCTTGAAAATTTACTGAGAATTGCATCTACTTCTATCAAAACAGATATTGGTGTACTAGTTTCTCAAATACAATGTCAAACATCCCACTGGTTTTATGTTGCCCTCTTTTTCTTTTATAATAAAAAAAATATTTAAAAAATCAATGATGTTTTATTACTTAGATATGTATATTTTCTGTGTTAGTGATCACAAACTTGGACCTGCTCAACGATTTTAAAAGATTATTGAGAGGACTGCTGCATAATTAGGGATATTATGTGAGGATTTTTTTTTTTGCTTATTTGTGGTGGCAAATATCATGAATATTATGCACAGGTGTTTTTTTTTTCTCATCTGTTTTCCTTAGTGTTTGTATATTTAATGTGTGGCCCCAGACAACTCTTTGTCCAGTATAGCCCAGAGACGCCAAAAGGTTGGACACCCCTGTATTACAGGGATATCATCACTTTATTTTCTGAATTGTTCTATTTAAATACTTTTTTCTTGTTGTTAGGGACTTTTCCATCATAACATTAGCATTTAATGGATAGTCTTTTTACATAGGTGTTCTAAGGGCTTTATAAGTGGCCGTTGAAATTTGAATAAATGTTATCTTTTGTTCTTCAGCATGCACTAAGACTGTCAGCCTTTGGCCAGATTTATAAAGTGCTGGAGATGGACCCCCTCCCATCTAGCAAGCCTTTTCAGAAATACTCTTGGTCAGTTACTGATAAAGAAGGTGAGTGTAGAAGTTTTTTATTGATGTTGGACATGATGACATAGAGATGGTCATGGAATGCATCTCTTGTTAGAACTGTGGGAACTTAATAATTGTTAATTTGATGTTGACTACACTTAGTGTGGTGATCATTTCACAGTATGTACAAATATTGAATTATGTTGTATGCCTGAATTTAATACAGCGTTGTCTATCAAGTTATACCCCAGTTAAAAAAATTGTTAATCCAAGTCTCATATAAGGAAGTTTACTGCTTTTCTTTTTGACTTTCTGCTCTTATGTCCCATCTATGACATCATCTTGCTATTATTTATTCTTTTTAAAATATATTTTATTAATTATGCCATTACAGTTTTCCCTCCTTCATTTCCCTCCGCATCCTCTCCCCCCACATTCCCCCTCCCCCCACATTTCCCCCCTTTAGTTCATGTCCATGTGTCATAAGTTCTTTAGCTTCTACATTTCCCACACTACTCTTGCCCTCCCCCTGTCTATTTTCTCCCTACCGTCTATGCTACTTATTCTCTATACTTTCTCCCCCCTTCTCCTCTTCCCACTCCCCTGTTGCTAACCCTCCATGTCATCTCCATTTCTGTGGCTCTGCTCCTGATCTAGCTGTCCACTTAGTTTGCTTTCGTTTTAGGTTTGATTGTTAATAACTGAGTTTTCTGTTCTTTCACTGTTCATCTTTTTTATCTTCTTTTTCTTAGATAAGTCCCTTTAACATTTCATATAATAAGGGCTTGGTGATGATGAACTCCTTGAATTTGACTCCTTGTCCTTATCTGAGAAGCACTTTATCTGCCCTTCCATTCTAAATGAGAGCTTTGCTGGTTAGAGCAATCTTGGTTGTAGGTCCTTGCCTTTCATGACTTGGAATATTTCTTTCCAGCCCTTTCTTGCCTGTAAGGTGTCTTTTGAGAAATCAGCTGACAGTCGGATGGGAACTCCTTTGTAGGTGACTGTTCCCTTATCTCTTGCTGCTTCTAGAATTTTCTCCTTTGTTTTAATCTTGGCTAATGTAATTATGATGTGCCTTGGTGTGTTCTTCTTTGGGTCTACTTTCTTTGGGACTCTCTGAGCTTCCTGGACTTCCTGGAAGTCTATTTCCTTTGCCAGATTGGGGAAGTTATCCTCTATTATTTGTTCAAATAAGTTTTCCACTTGTTGCTGTTTCTCTTCCCCATCTGGTACCCCTATAATTCGGATGTTGGAATGTGTAAAAATGTCCTGGCGGAGGTTCCTAAGCCTCTTATTTTTTTTGAATTCTTGTTTCTTCATTCTCTTCTGTTTGGTTATTTCTTTCTACCTTCTGGTCCACTCCATTGATTTGAGTCCCAGTTTTCTTTCCATCACTGTTGGTTCCCTGTGTATTTTCCTTCATTTCACATAGTGTAGCCTTCATTTTTTTCATCTAATTTGCAACCAAAATAGGCCAGTTTTGTGAGCATCCCAATCACCAGTGTTTTGAACTGTGCATCTGATAGGTTGGCTATCTCTTGGTCACTTAGAAGTATTGGCTTTGTGGCTTTGATCTGTTGTTCTGTTTGAGCCATAATGTTTTGGTCTGTTTGCTCCTGTTAGATATGAAGGCAGAGCCTTATGTGTTCACCAGAGTGGGGCAGCTCAGTGGCTGGGTTGTGACGCTGTACGTGGGGGCAGGGTCAGAGAGGGAATAATGGTGCTTGCTCTGCTGTCTCTTGGATTTCAGTCCTCTCTGCTGCTTGCCTCAAGCAAATTGGGCCCTTCTGGTGCTAGTTCCCAGGTGGGTGGGTTCTAGGACCCTGTGGGTCTCTTCAACGAACTCTCCTGTGAGTCTGGGAGTCTCTCCAGGCATCTCAGTCCCTGCAAGTTTCTTCAGTCGGTGTCTCAAGGCTTTATTTCCCCTTGCTGGGGCCCTGGGTTGCACAATCTGTTTCACTGCCCATTTTTGCCTGGTTTATCTATGCGCCAGTGTGTGTCCACAGTCAGCCAACTGCCTTGCGCACCTTACTGGGTTTGCTGGTTTTGTCCCTGCACCCGGGTCGCCAACCACCACCTTTTTCTGCCGGGACCCCTCTCCGCCAGCCACCGACTCCATCCCTCTTACTGGTTTAGATGAATGGTTCGTTGTTGTCGGACTTTGGTAGAGTTCAGTTTTCTGTTTCTTCTGGTTGTGTTTTTGTTTCTAAATCTTAGTTGTCCTTAAACTTCGTTGTGTGAGGAAGTACAGTGTTTTCACCTATGCCTCTGTCTTGGCCGGTGCTATTATTCATTCATTTGTTCGTTCATTCATTCATTTATTTATCTTTAGAGGGGAAGGGAAGGAGAGAGGTTGAGAAATATCAATGTATGGTTGCTTCGTCCCCTGCTGGGAACTGGCCTGAACCCAGGCATGTGCCCTGACTGGGAGTTGAACTAGAGACCCTTTGCTGCAGAGGCCCGTGCTCAATCCACTGAGTTGCACCAGCCAGGCTATTATTTATTCTTATTAGTAATGAATTCATTTGGCTGTGTTGGCCAGATTTCACTGCTGCATAGATGTAGGGACCATACTTTGAGAACCCTGGTCTAAGAGAAAAGATAAGCCATAAACTAGGAGGAAATGTAACCACTGTGCTTAGAAGTGTTACATAACCAAGAAACAGAAAACAAAAATATAAAGGAAGAGAAAAATATATTGGAAAATTTAGGACTATTTTTCATTTGTATTAGTTTGTTTGAACTCAGATTTCAGCGGAAGGAGCCTAGGCTTTGGGGTCAGTGTGACTTGGGTTCCTGTCAGCTCTACTACTTACTAGCTTTAGGCCTTGAGTGCTTAGTTTATCTCTGTCCTGAGGGCTATTCCCCCACTTTGTTGGCTGTACACAGATTAAGATGCCCGACTCATTGCCTTGAATACAGTGGACTCCAACGTGAATGTACTCACTCTCTTTAGGCCACAAAATTTCCTCCCACCCACCTTCACCTCGTGTTGTACTAGAAGGTGGGATGTTTAACACTGGTTATCGGGGGCCCACCCCATCTGCCACGTTGATGTTCTAATAATTTTTATATGATAAAAATAGTGTACTGGCCCAATCTATTTATTTAGACAACAGCATTCCAGTGGGTCTAAAGACTTCACGGAGTTCACAAGATCAAAACTGTTTCGTAGTAATGCTGAGTCATTTGTTTGGTCTTTTTCACTCTTTCATGACTGTACAGTTTTCAAGAGGCTGCATTTAACATATGATGGCATCATCACTCTGATGGCTAGTGGCAATTTTTTTTCGTATATTATATGAAATCTTTTTGCTTCAATTTCTAATATGTTTACTATTGATAGATATTATCCACAAAATGAAGCTCTTTGGTAACTCAGTGTTCAAGAGGGTAAAATGGCCCTGAAGTTAAAAAAAGTTTGAGAATCAGCCCTGGCTGTTGTGGCTCAGTGAACTGTGGGACAGGTCCCAGTAGGGGGCATGTGAGAAGCAACCTCACACTGACGTTCCTTCCTGTCTCCCCATCCCTTCTCGTCTCTCTAAAAAGAAGTAAAATAAAATCTTTAAAAAAAAGAAAGAAAAAAACATTTGAGAATCACTGCATTACACTGTGAACTCCTTAGGGGTAAGGAGTCCTCCAGATCATTATTATAAGCCAGTGCTCAAGAAATATTTGTGGAATGAACACCATTTTCTTCAAGAGGGAATTCACAGAGCAGTGAAGAAGTTTTGGAATGGGATGGCATGGCCAGTTGACATTAAGCACTGGCTGTGGAATGAATGATTGAATAAAAAATTTAAATGTCTAATGAAAAATTTGTTCCAATCACTGAATTCATAGTAGCACTTCTGGTTTTGTATTTTTTCTTTCACTAGACATAAAAAGTATATCTACTGTGGTGTGGCTTAGATTTTTTTAAAAAGATTTTATTTATTTACTTTCAGAGAGGGGAAGGGAGGGAGAAAGAGAGAGAGAGAGAGAGAAACATCAATGTGTGGTTGCCTCTCACATGGCTCCCACCAGGGGACCTGGCCTGCAGCCCAGGCATGTGCCCTGATCGGGAACCGAACCAGCAACCCCTTGGTTTGCGGTCCGTGCTCAATCCACTGAGCCACACCAGCCAGGGCTGGCTTAGAATTTTTTTATGGCGGTCTCAGTCAGCAAAATTACAGCATAGGTTACATGTGTCCAGGAGATACTTGCATTACTAGTATGTGCTGAAATATGAAAAAAATTAAAAATACTTGTAAACTTGCCTTTATTATATTTACATAATACATTTTTTAAATTTTCTGTTATAATCTAGAAGTACTAAAGAATATAAAAGCATAAAGAATAAAAGTTCTTCTTTTTTCAAGAGATTTATTTATTTATTCATAGACAGAAGGGAAGAGAGAGAGAATGTGAGAGAAATGTCAATGTATGGTTGCCACTCACACACCCCCACTGGGGACCTGGCCCGCAACCCAGGCATGTGCCCTGACTGGGAATCAAACCCTTTGGTTCCCGGGCTGGTGCTCAATCCACTGAGCCATACTAGCCAGGGCAAAAGTTTTTCTTTTTAAATACTGGGAACATGAATATTGCTTAAAAATTTCTTGGATTACCGAATCGATATATTTTTCCAGCCATTTTCAACAGTAAATGAAAGAAGAAAACAGAACACTGACTTCAAAGTTCGCAAAAAAAATATAACTACACCAACACTGACTTCAGAGTTATCTGAAGATACAATTTACTCTTGAGTATCACACATTCTTACAAAACACATGTTATAACCAAACTGATGGCTTAAACGTGTGGGTTAACATTAGTTACTTACAAATGTGCAGCTAGTTATGACCTTGAACCTATGCACCCAATACATATAACAATATTTAGGAAAAGATTTTGTATCTGTCATATCATCTGCGATCTCCACAGGGTTTTAAATGCCGTTCTTAAAAGTTTAGGAACGCTGGTGTGTTGGTAAAATAGAACCAGACTGTTGCTGTTTTCATTCAAGTCGTTGCATTTCTGGCTGCATGACTTGGACA